AAAAAAAAAAAAAAAAAAAAAAAAAAAAGAAAAAGAGGGAGCGGAAGTCATTAATCGTTGTGTTTTCTGTGGGTATTTCAGGGTGTATGTTTGTATGTTTAATATTCGTTGAATTACACCGATATCGAGAGACGCACAGAGATCACCAAATTTTTTATGCCTCAACGGCGGCGGTAGCAGCAGCCGGAGCGGTGGTGCACTTTATCAATGTACTCAATCGTCACTTTAAGCATGATGCATGTGCACGATTTGCAAGTTGGAAGAAAATAGAAAAAAAGTCATTGGAATTGTTCAAACGATTCTCTAATTTATAGTTGACTAAACATCAATCAATTCCAATTCGTGAAAAAAAAGGGGAAAAAACTAGAAAATAATGTACTTTTAATCATAAACAAAAAAAAAAAAAAGATGAAATTAAAACTACTTTAACTGAAAAAAAAAAGTTCAATTTTGTTTAATTTTCAACGTTAAAAACAACAACATTTTTCTTGCGTCTAAAATAACCAAAACATATGTAATTCTTTTTCTTCTGTTTTCTTCCTTTTTTTCTTCTTCAAATTTTTGAAGAATTTCCCCTTGTAACGCCTTAAAAACTTATCCTATTTTTTTTTTTCAGCTGCATTCTTCATTAACACTAATAATAATCTTATTTTAGCAACAGATTATTTAGAAAACAAAAAAATAGAACGACTGTAAAAATTAAAGATGCTAACAAATGAAACTTTGTTATATTGCTAAAAAAAATGTAACTTTTAGTTCCTTTTCTTGCCTTCTTAACATTACAGTAAGTCAGAATTTTTACGAAAGAAGGATATTTTCAGTTTGAAAAAAAAAGACGAAAAAAATGTTATTAATGGAATCGTTAATTTCATCAATTTAATTGACTATCAGAAAATGATCAGTCTTATTTTTCTAGCAGTCACAATTGAACCTATTTTGCAGTGATGCATTAACAAAATCTGTACGATCATCCGCTTAATCGGCGCTATTGCCGTCTTCAAAAGTGAAATGCTTTGCTTACAGTGCCAAGCAAAATCAATCTCTTCTCAATAGAACAATTTGACAGATTAAACTGAAGAATATTTGTGCAACTAACGTAACAAACATAGTTGATAAATAAAGAAAATATATACGTACTGTATTACGTGAGCAATAAATCAACAAAATTTTAGTAAATTTTTGGCGAAAAAAGGCAAAGAAAAAAAAAGGGTCGTAGAATATGCTTAGAACTGAATACACTTAATGCTTCAGTCTCCCATACATTGTGATTGTGCAAATCAGCTAAATAGATCGGTCAGCTGTAAAAATCAAAAATACTTGTTGATCAATTTGTGCTACCTAATCCATCTAAATTGTTGCGAGAAGCTCAGCTGACGGTGATTGCTTCTTCAGCCATTGTACAAACGACACTCATTCATTGTATGCCTCTGTTGGTTCCATTTTATTTTATTCATAATTTTTCCTTTGCTGTAAATTAATAAAAATTGTTTTTCTGCTTTCTTTAGTTTAGATAAAGATCTTCTTGAAACCTTTCTTATCTCTCCCTCTCTGTTTTACAAAGCTGCAAAAAAATACAACAGAACAAAAAATTAAATAATTTGTTGCTTCAATGAATTACATTCAGTGATCTGTATGTGTAAACCTCAACTAACTCATTTTGCGTAATAAGAAAATAATTTTTTTTTTTTTTTTTTGCTGAACAAGGCAAAAAACGCTAATTTTTTTTACAGCAGTAAAATTTAGTAAATATACTTAACACTTTATATGAAAAATCAGTTCTTGACATTAATTTAGAAAAATATACTTAGTGACCTTAATTACTGATAAACGCCGTAAGGGATAACTATTTTCTTCTGTTGTCACCGTCAATGTTTTCACTTAAAACCTTCAATTTTCCAATTTTTATTTGAAGTAAAAAAATCAAAAATAAACTTCATAGATTTTTGTTTGATCACCAGTTTAATTTTCCCCGCAAATAAGTCAGCAAAAAAAAAACCACAACTTTATTCTAAAAGTCTGAACTTTATAATCAAATGATCATTACAGCTACCTTTCAACAAGAAACCTTTAGACATCCTTCCAACTGACCTTCTAACCAAAATTTAATTCATTGATTGGAGTCAATTGCAGACACTCAGAATTACAACAAAAGAACTAAAAAGTTGCAAAGAATTCCCTGCACCAAATTAACATCGTCTTTTGTTGTCGGTCTAATTAGCCAACATTAAAATTTTTCAAGCTAATTACAGAATCGTATAATTTTGAAGCCATAAACCACGACACTTATGTACAGAATGCTGTTAAACAGATATTAAAGCAAAAATAGCAACAGTAAAGAATTTGTTTTGTTGTTACTTCCAAAAGTTGAATTTGAAAACATAAATTTTGCTTGACAAAGAAAAAAAATAAAATTAATCTCGCCAAAATCATTGAAAAATTATCGAGCAATTAATTTGTTAAACCTTCTTCCTTATTTTCCCTCAGTTTCATTATTATTCTGTATATATATACACAAATACATCTTTTTTTTTGGTCCTAAACATTAGCCGCCTAAGATTATAAGAACCATTAATTTTGATTTCACAGTCACCATCTGTACCAATAAAATATAGCCATATTTTTGCGATCATCCAAAAATCAACAACAGCAACATTTCTTCTTCTTTCCTCTCTTCTGTTTCTTTTCATATCTCGCTTGACACATAAAAGATGACTTAAAAAATTCAAAAAAAATTGCAAAAAATTGTTTTTTTTTTCTAAAAAGTCAAGATGATTGTTCATAATCCATAGATTTTATTGTCCCTCCCCCCCTTTCCTCTTCCTTCTTTTACCGAATGTTACATTGAATTTTCGAAAAAAAAAGCAATTCATGGTTTGCTACCAATAAGCGGCATTCTCGTAGTTCATAATCTTTTCAACCTTTTCCAATAAAATAACGCCATAGTAATAGGTAGAACAGAAATAATTTTCAGAAGACTGTAACCAGATGCGAGAATAGATGAGTAAGACAACCAAATGAGTGGCAAGCAAAGCAAACTGTTAACAAACAAACTAAAAATTACCTTGTACCACTAAATTGATAGAAGCATAACTATCAGCAATTTTGTTTGATCCTTTGCATATGTATTTGCCACTGTCGGCGACAGTTACATTAAATATTCGTATAGAACCCCCATTAGTTGTTGTCTTTAACGGCATTGCAGCTTTCTGTAAAAACGTTTTTTCTTTTTTCTACTGCTAATAACCACTAAACAAGGTTTATAGAAATTTCTCAACTATATCCTATATGTTATTGACTATTCAGCTTAACTAATTCTGTAGTTAACTGTTACAGGAAGAAAGCAAAGAAAGCTTTAACAATAATAAACAGCTTTTACTGTTTGCTGTTGTTGTCTCGTCTGACAACGAAAACAGTGCCAATAACTGACTATACATTGGACTAATCATTTTTTTCCCTTTATTTATGCTGTTAATAAGTTTCTTAATACGCCCAAAAAATGTGCGAGAAATAAATTTCTTCTTCAAATAAATGTACCTTTTAAATATAATTTTTATTGGTTACGCAAAATTATGAATCATAAATTTTCTCTCCCTTTTTTTTTTTTTTTTTTTTTTTTCAATTTTTAGTAGACAAACTATCGATGATAATAAATAACGATGTTTAAAGACAATTATTATGAGGATTTAAAAGCACCAACTTCTCTAGCCCAGGATAAAAACGGTTTTGGATTACCACTTCCACTACATTTCATGACAACATTTTCTCCCGCTTTTACAACGTATGAATTGAAATCTGGCGAGATTGATATTGACGGTGGTACTAGAATAAGCAGTATGTAAATTTCCTGCAGTATTTGCAAATAAAATTTGAATAAAAAATTTTTTTAAATGACTGTATATTTTCAAAAAGTAAAAAAAAATTTAAATTTAAAAAAGCACTTCTCAATTACTACCATTTACTTGAAGATTATGCGTAATTGACTGCTCAGGTACTGTCGTAATAACGCATGTGTAATTTGACGTATCAAACGGTTCCAATCGTTCGATTGTCAATGTAAAATTCTGTAGAAACAAAATAGCAATTTTTTTGAGTGTATATAATGATAGAAAAAAAGCATAG